GACTTCAAAATTAATGAGAATGGCGTGATGAGGTTCAGAGGTAGAGTTTGTGTACCAGATGTAACTGATCTTAAGAAGAGTATTCTTGAGGAGGGTCACCGAAGTTGGTTGAATATTCATTCGGGTGCCAATAAAATGTATCAAGACTTGAAGAAAATATTTTGGTAGCTAGGAATGAAGAAAGAGGTAGCTGAGTTTGTATATACTTGTTTGACTTGTCAGAAGTAAAAGATTGAACATTAGAAACCGTTGTGTCTGATGCAACCGTTGAGTATTTCAGATTGGAAGTGGGATAACATTTCCATTATTTTTGTGAGAATTTTGTCAAAGATGATGAATGAATGTGATTCTTAATTGGGTGATTGTTGATAGGTTGGCTAAATCGACTCATTTCGTATCAATTAATATCAATTATCCTTTATAGAAGTTAGTTGAGATGTATATTGAGAATATTGGTACTCTGTATGGTATTTCATCAAGCATTGTGTCTGATAGAGATCTGAGGTTCACGTCGAGGTTGTGGCAGAGTTTATAAGAAGCTTTGGGTACTAAGTTAAAGTTGAGTTCTGTTTATCATCCATAAAATGATGGGCAAAAAGAAAGGACTATCGAATCCTTAGAGGATCTTTTGAGGGCTTGTATGCTAGAACAAGGAGATACTTGGGATAGCTACTTGTCGTTGATTGAGTTCATTTACAATAACAGTTTCCACTCAAGTATTGAGATGGTCCCGTTTGAGGCATTGTATGGTAGGAGGTGTAAGACACCTCTGTGTTAGTATGAATTTGGCGAGAATGCGGTGATTGGACATGAGATTATGCAAAAAACTTCAGAGAAGATAAAGATGATCCAAGAGAAGCTGAAAGCTTTGCAGAGTCGTCAGAAGAGTGACCATGATAAGAGGAGGAAAGCACCTGAGTTCCTAGAGGGAGACATGTATTTTTTAGAGTTAATCCAGTAACTGGTGTTGGTCAAGATTTAAAGTCTCGAAAGCTTACACCACATTTTGTTGGTCCATATCATATCTTGTAGAGGATAGGAGAGGTGGCCTATCGGATTACCTTGCCACCGCCGCCTTCTAATCTTCTTGATGTGTTTCATGTGTCCCAGTTAATGAGATACAGTCTGAATCCATCTCATGTGATCCAAGTGGGCGATATATCGGTAAGTGAAGCAGATACATGGTAAGGAGATTGCCTTGGTGAAGATAGTGTGGGAAGAACCAGCTAGTGGAAATATAACATGGGAGCTGGAGAGTCAGATGAGAGAGTTGTATCTGACTATGTTTCCTTCAAGTAATTTTTTAGGGCAAATTTTTTTATAAGTCGGAGAGTGTTGTAACAGCCCAAATTTGATTAAATTATTTAATTGAGTCCATTTGAATTTATTTAATTTAATTATTGAACGTTGGTGTGATTTAAAATAAAATTTTGAATGTGTGTTGTTGGGGTGTTGTAGAAATAGTAGGGTATGGTGAGAAAGTAGAGAAAATTAGAAAAAATTATATTGATTAAAATTTTAGTTATTATTATTGAAAAAAAATAAGAAAATTGGAGGAATAGGAATTTTGGGCCAATTGTGGGATTTGAGGGAGAGTTTGGGGTGGAGAAGAAAATCTAAGATTGAATTGGGAAAAAATAATAATTAAACAAAAGTGATGGGAGTACTATATATATTTTTAAAGTTGGGAGAAAAACTAGTTTTTTTTGGGAGAAACTGTCAATACGTGAAATTTGAGAAAAGAGGCAAAGGGAGAGAAAGAGCTTTTGGAAGGGAGAAGAGCAAAAGCTTGGGTTTTAAAGAGAGAAGCCATAGAAATCACTTGATTCATCATCATTTATAGGAATCCAAGGTAAAGTGAGGAGAAAGGGCTACTAATAGGTGTATTGCATGATGGGGTTAGTGATGAGGAGTCCTTAACCTCATTAGGGTTATTAGGTTTTTCTTCTTATAAATGATTTTTGATGAATTTCTGAAAATTGTTGATGGATCTTGTGTTTATATGTGTTGCTATGATGAATCCATATATGAACTATCAGGAATATGTGTGCATGAGGTTTTGCCATTGATGAAGGTGTGAAAGTTTGAGTGTTATTCATGAATTGATGAAATTTTTTGTTAAATTTAATGATGAAATTGCCATGGATTATGATGAAATAAGTGATGTATATGGTGTTGATTATTATAATATGTTTCACTGGTAATTATGTGTTTGGGTCTATTAAAATTGGATGAATTGATTAGAATGATGAAGGGAAGTTAGAGGATGAAGTGTATGTTTGGATACACGTTTGCAATGCCTTTTCGCACGTTTAAGGATCGTTCCACCGTGAAAAAGAGAAGCTACAAAATGTAGCTTCTGGTCCAAACGCACGTCCACTATTTTTCCACCGCTAATCTAAACATGCCCAAAGAAGATGCTGAATGTACGTTAAAATTAAGTTTATGGGCAATTTTCACTAAGACCAATCGATTAGTCCTAGAAGACAATTGATTAGTTCACTCACAATTTTGAAAAATTTGTTGGCATTGAGCTAAGACAATCGATTGTTCCCCCTGGATCAATCGATTGGCTCTTGTTCGAGTGGTTGACCCCTTTGTTGATTTTGGTCGTAACTTTTGTTCCGTAAGTCCAAATGAGACGATGTTTGAAGCGTTGGAAAGCTAATACGCAGAGCTACCTCATGGTGGTGCTTGGTGAATGATTTGATTTATAATGTTGTACCTGTTGTATAAATGTTTATGATGACTTGTGTGATTAGTTAGAAAATTGTTATGTTATACGATGATGTGTTGGTGAAGTAATATGAATAAATGCATCTGAATGTCACAAACTGTTGTGTTATTTGTGGTGAGTTATGTTGATGAAGATGATGTTTTATATTGATTTTGTCGTGTGAAATAAGAGTGTGATGATGTCATTATGTTTTGAATAATAATTATGATTATTGTGTTGTTGCATGTATGAGGTAATAATCTAATTGAGGAGAATGATTGTATACTTGAGGTGCACTGAATTATATCATGTTGTGCATTTTGTTATTGTGATAGAGATGTAATCAGAGAGGGGATTACTAGAGTTGTCAATGCATTATATTGGGATCAGAAAAGGGGTCTCAACACATTTATTTAATGATATGCTCATGCATCATTTGAGTTGTGTCAAGAGGCATGTCTGCTAGTTCAAAAGAGGGGACTAATGGCTTGTCCCAAGCTCAAAAGATGGGGCTTATAGATCAGAAGTGGGGGCTCAGGGGTTCAGAAGAGGGGACTCAGTTCTAGAGAGAACTAAATATTGAGTTAGTATCACATGAATATGCATAGGGTTGCATTAGTCAAGTTGCATTGCATAATGAGTCAGTTGTACCATTTATTTGCATACATGATTTCATATGTCATTGATTGTTCACGATGTTATTGATCGGTGTGAATGTGTACATGTTGTTGTGAAGGGTGTGAGACTATGTAGTTGTTGATTTATGTAACTGAATGCGAGTTTTGTGATGTGTTCTCTACCTTAGCATTCTTTACATTATTTATATTTGTTTGTTGTTTCATACCCCCTTTGTTTTGATGTTGCCCATCATGGACATCTTGTAGATACACAGGAGTAGAGTTTGTTGCAGTAAGTGGAAGTTAGCTCCCAGAGTTACTTCTTTTAGTTTCTCGTTATTTTTGAAGTCTTGTTCTGATCCTGCAACGTTGGGGTTGGGAACGTTTGATTGTTTGATTCAATTTGTGTTTTTGCTAATCGAGAGTCGTATGTTTTACTCTTGATGTTTTGAGTTGATGTTATAGTGGAGACTTTTGCCACATTATTTTAATTGAAATGAAGTATTTTTAATGAGACTTAATTATTATGAAGCATGCTTATTTGATGATTTTCACTGCGATGATACCTTAGGTGAAGGTAAGCATGCAATGGCAGGTGTTGTTTTATGATGAGTGACATCCTAAACGTGTGTATTGTGATCAATACTTGAATTATTCTACGATTTAATTGTTTTATGGTTTAAAATATTACATACATAATAAGAAATTGTCACATATTATACTTTTAACAATAACACAAATCAATTTTTCATTCAATAAAGATATAATTTCATTAATATGTGACTGTGGATTTTTTTTGTTGTCAAATAGTCTATTGACTAAAATTTTACCTCTTAAAGAGTGAATAAATAGAATATTGTGAATTCAAACTTACATCTCTGAAATAAAAATTTATGATTAAACTAATTAAAGAAACATAAATATAATTATGAGTTCTATTAGACAATCAAAATTTTCTATTTGCACCAAGGAAAACATTATCACAAGAGCATTCCACCCAAAGAAAACTTTTTAATTTGTCACTTTATTTGCTAGCCAAAATGAATATGATACATTAGTACTATGAATTTCCCTGCTATTTGCAAGTACTCAATCATCTTATTAATAACAGAAATGTTATTCTTACACCATTTCCTACACCCTACACCCAATTTACTGTTCACAAATACGTGAACAAATTTCTCAGAACATGGTTAATAGTATGTATTTTATTGGTTAATAAAGTAGTGAAAGTGGTTAATAAATTATAGGTAAAATAATTGGCTAATGATGTAGATTTTTGTGGTTAATGTAACTGTGAAGTTGGTTAATACGCAATCTTATATTTGTGTTATAAAATAAATTTTAAAAATAAATATTTTTTTTAAAAAAAAATTAATATTTTAAAAATATATATTATTTTAATAAAAAAACACTGTTCACCGTATAAATACGGTGAACAGTGCATACGGTGTAGGATGTGGGTGTAGGAAATGGTGTACACATAGCAAAGCTGTATTAATAACATCTGAAAAATTCAAATAAGGAAATACTAATAATAGTGAAATAGTAAAACAAGTCAAAAAGTATAATTAAATACAAAGACAAAAAAGCAAAAGCTCTATAGTTTATGGTTTTAGTTTTAATTAATGTAATTATATAATAATAGCATATATGGTATGAGATTTTCAATGGTATTGGTAATGATTGCACTGGTTAGCAGGTCTAATTTTCAAGTAACCAGCTTTAGAAGGACACGTCATCTGAATAGGAGGAACCATACAGTTATACTGTAAACAAAGAGAACTGCTCAATGGGATCTCTGCCGTTGGATTAATCACAATTCCGGTAAGATAATTATGCTGCAAATACAATATCTGAATATTTGCTGCTAATAACCGTTCAACAAAGCTACCAGGAACCTCGCCGGTGAAACCGTTGTTGTTTAGATACAAATTTTGCACACTGGCTAGTAAAGGTGATATTTCACCTGATAGTTTGTTGTAACTAAGATCAACGGTTTGGATTGTAACTTCATTAAACGGTTCAACCGGACCGTATAATTGGTTTCTTTCTAATTGTAAGTTGGTTAACGGGAATGAGAATAACTGAGCCGGGATGGAACCGGTGAACCGGTTGAAGCTTAGATCAAGGTAGTTGAGCCGATTTAGTCTGTATAAAACCCGATCCACCGTTCCGGTAAGCTTGTTCCATGATAGAGAGAGGTATTGTAGTGAAGACGGGAGAGAATCCGGAGCAAGTGAACCGGTGAGTGAGTTGTGCTTTAGATCGAGCCGGTTCAGGTTTTTAGCTGAAGCGAAGGATGGAATTGAACCGGTGAGACGGTTATTACGGAGGATCAGGTTGTTTAGATTCGGCAATTTACCGATTGACGGAGGAATAGCTCCGGCGAGCTGATTGTAGCTTAGATCAATTGTTCTGAGATTGCGAAGCTGACTTAGCCCCGCCGGAATCTCGCCGAAGATGAAATTCCGGCTGATGCCGAGAAACTTGAGGTTCTTCAATTTGGAAATGGACTGAGGAAGAGGACCGTAAACTCTACCTGGAGAAACGGTTAAGTCGACGAGAGAAGAGAGTTTACCAACGGCGGTGTCTATTTTTCCGGTTAAACCAGGAGAACCGGCTCTAGATTCACCGAGATTGAGAGCAACAACTTTATCGGAAACACAGTAAACTCCGGCAAAGTTGCACGGATCGTCAGTGAAGTCCCAGGATGAAAAGAAATTCGAACCAGGAACATCGTGAAGTGATCTTCGAATAGATTGCAATGCTAAGAAATCAATAGGATTTAAGATTGCTCGCGTGGATTGAAAGAAGCACAAAAGAATCAAAGAATATGTAGAAATTTTCATTGTTTAGATGGAGAAGAATAGAAGAACAACGTTTTGATGCGTTTTTATAGCAATGGTGATGAGTAAGTATGGAAACCTTTTCTTCTTCTTTCTCGTGAGTAGCGGTGTGAGGTTTTAATGGCGGAAGTGAAGAATTATGAGTGTGGATAGAAAATCAACTAACTCTAGCTGGCTTGGAAGAGAAGCAATTCTTTTTTGTGAATCAATGTTTTTGCTTTTTGTGTTGATAGTTTTGCTTTTTCATGATTTTGCCTTCTCTTACAAGGCGCAGCAGAGTAATCACCGTCACAAGCAAACTTCTGCTTAGTTTGTTAATGCTATAATCATAAGCCAAAAAACAGTATTGTTAATTTAATTGCTTACTAGTCGTTGCTTTGTTTTATGTATTTTTAAATTAGATTAACGAAGGAGTTTTAAGAGAAAAAGTTATGGTTGTGTCACGTTTGGAGAGTGACAGGTAATTAAGCAGTTAAACAAGAGGTGAATTTGGATGAGGATTCAGTTTTATTTTCAGCAACTTCTCGTTCAGGTCACGTTGAATTCAAAGGTTGGTCAAGCTTATCTTATCTCACATGTTTCGGGTGTTCTGCTATCGATTGTTGCGGTTCTTTTTAGCTGTATATGACAAAAATCCAATCGGAATAATTATTATTTTGCTTTGGTATCAGAAGTAAGTGAACTTAACAACGTTGCGGTATAATGAATTTTCTATACAGTAGCAGGGACACTCTAAAGTCTAAATCAACAAAAGAGTGGGAAAATATTTGAGCGTATAACTGATGAAATACCTAAAATAATACATTAATCTCTATTAAATCCTATGTGACCTATGCAAATGACTGATTGAACAAATTCATAATGTAGAACGGTTAAAAGTCGGAATTAATATCTTTAATTCAGATAAAGTCTCACCTATTTTACATTTAAATTAGTGATTAGATAGAACCGTCAATTGAACATTAATATTTTTAATTTAATTGACGTTTTCTTATACTGTCGTCAATTTAATTAGTATTTTTTAAATATAAATGTTGGACTGCTCCACATTATTAATTTTTGTAAAACATGGATAAATTAATAGAAAATTTTAATTATTTGAAGAATATTTTAAGAAACTTGATTATTTTAATGAAAGATTTCAATTTTCTCACTTCATTCATAATTGCTCATAAATTTAAAAGGATAATCGATAAATATTACTCAATCTTAATTTTTAATTATTTTTTTAATTCTTTTATACATATTAATACAATTAGTAAATTTTATTCTATAAATATTTTTATTTTTATTTTTCTATAATGTCTTAAATTATTTATTAGTATATTTTATATATTTTTTCTATTTTATAAAAATCAAATGTATTATAAATTTTTTTAATAATTATTTCATTTTTGATTCTTTTTGTCAAAATTGTTCACTTGTCAAAATAGGACAACTTTTGAAAATGAGTTTTTTATTTTATTTTTATCGTTACTTTAAAATAGTGGTATTTATAAACACTCTAAGTTAATGATGACAAAAAATAAAAATATTTAGACAGTTCTTTGATTATATATATATATATATATATATATATATATATATATATATATATTTGGAGGTTTAGAATCTTTGGACAAACAACCGTTGTTCAAATGTCATAATATTATTTCTTCTGTCATCTAACGGTCCTAGATCATATATCTTTTCAGGGCAAGTGTATGCTTATTCCTGAGGTTCTAAAATATTCCCCTAATTTTCAGTTGTGGTACATTATTTTGTCTCAGATCTTATTGGGCTTTGCGTTTTTGAACTTTTTGCACATTTTTCCTTCATATGTTTTTAAACCGTAAAAATAGTTGTGCGTTGGATAGAAACATAATATTAAATTTTAAAAAGGATAAATAAATAAACGAATAATTGGAAAGAATTTGTTCTAAGAAACAAAGATATATAATACTACTGTCTAGGTGCGGATTCTTGGATTTTTGAAATTTTTTATTCATTATTCTATTATTTATTCCTATATCTTTATATTATATTTCTTTTACCAAAATATCTTTATATAAATAGGTGTAAAATTTTCCTAACCTTATTATTTAATTCGAAATTTAATAAATAAATCTATCAAAATATTAATAAAGTAGTTTTTAAAGATATATTTTTTTTTATTAAATTTCAGATCAAATAATTAAATAAGAAAAAATTTCCATTTATTTATATGAAGATATTTTGGTAAAAAAAATACAACGCAGGGATAAGGAAATACATTGTAAGGTATGAGGTAAGATTTTCGAATATTTGGTCTCCGATGAACTCTTTTATTTATTATTGATGTTTTCCTTTAACAGTCTCTTGTTTTCTGAGTGTTGTGTTTGTGTTAAGTTGTTGTTATATATATATATATATATATATATATATATATATATATATATATATATATATATATATATATATATATATATATATATATATATATATATATATATATATATATATATATATATATATATATATATATATATATATATATATATATATATATATATATATATATATATATATATATATATATATATATATATATATATATATATATATATATATATATATATATATATATATATATATATATATGACATAATGTTATTTTTATGTGACAATATAAAAATGAATCTGTATTTTTAAATTTTAAAATAAATGGTAGAGATCATGTGTGATTTTTTTCTCTTCTCTATTATATATATATATATATATATATATATATATATATATATATATATATATATATATATATATATATATATATATATATATATATATATATATATATATATATATATATATATATATATATATATATATGACTATTGATCTCACCTGATCAGAAAGGACCAATGGTCTGCCACGCGTCGTTGGGTTGTAGTTTTCACCAGAGTTAGGGAGAAGGAGAGGGGGTGTACCTGCAAGGCACTCCGATGCTTAAGTGAGTAAAGGATCAGAGTGGGGGAGCAGATATAGAGAAGTAGGTGTAGAGAATAGAATAGCAGATCCTCTAGTGAAAGATGGTATTTATAGAGAGACCTCAGCGCAGGGCCAACGATTACTTGCATTGGGCCAGACTGCCAAGCCCAACCTAAGTAACTGTTAGGGCTTACGCGGCGTAGGGAAGACCAACACGTGGTATTCGCCCTAGATTAACTGCTCTGTGATCTTTGGAAGGTGAGCTGACCAACTCTTTCGGAGGTGGGTAGTTGCCTAATGACGAGCACGTGGAGAACGTGGGGGAAACATGTGAGTCTCCCCGTCAAGGGAGTCGTCTGCCCGACATCTATGCCTTGTTGAGGCCCGTGACCGACATGGAAGGATTGGGCCTTCCCATAGTATTGTTGGGCTGGGTCTGCCCGACAGAGGGGCAGGTCCCGGCCCAGTCCAGAACATGATCCCTTCAAGTCGTTGCTCCGAGGCGGAGGAGCGATGACTTAAGGATATGCCCCGTCGAGGACAGATAGGGAAGGCGGTCCTATTCTCGGAAGATGGAGTCGACAGTTGTGCTCGTCGGAATATCATGTCGGGGAGGCGAAAGATGACCGGGGCACTAGCTTTCTGAGCTCGAGAGAGAACGAAAGGGCAGGTCAGTCACAGTTGCCACGTGTTAGATGCCCATTGTCCATCCTAGGGCGGCTAGTTATAGGGGTGCTTGAGTGGCTAGGGGCGCTTCGAGTTCCGTGCTAGGCTTATAAATAGGTTGTGCCCTGCCCCTGCGTCACTTTTTGCTCCCAATTTTAACGAACGGACTCTCTCTTGCTCCTCCACCGTTTGCATCGCTGTGCAATCGCTGCCGCTGTACCGTCCGCCGAATTCCGCAGTACCTCTACTCGAACTATTGTATCAAGTAAGTCTGATCTTTCTTTTCTTTTGTTTCTTTTATTTTCTGGCAATTCCTGCGGCGGACACGATGAGTGTCCCGAGGAGGCTGCGGGGATTTCAGTGATTACAGTAGGATTCCCTTGACCAAGGGTGGGCCTAGGATGAAGCTTCCAGGGACGCATAGTAGTTCTGGATACATTCCTCGGGGTCAGGTGATAGGATTTGGATGAGTACCCCGGGGACAGATGATAGGTTTGGATGAACACCCTGGGGACAGATGATAGATCTAGATGAATGTCCTGAGAACGTATGTTAGTACTAGATAAATGCCCCATGGACATATGGTAGTAAATAATGCGGGGAAATGGATGTTAAGGTTGAGGGAGCCTAGGTTGTAGATATTACCCCTTCGCCCTTTCAATTGTGCTGCGGCGGAAGGGTGAATTTGATCTTGAAACGTCGAATTCACCATTTTCCTCTACTTTTCAGGTGAACATGGTTACATGGATACCAAGAGTTATAAAAGTCGACCAAGAACCAGAGTCTCCGGCAGCCCCACCCGTCGAGGGGCAGAATTGGTCAGTTGAAGACTGGGTCGGGGAGGAGCCATTGAGTATGCCTTCCGGTTTTGTCGAGGATGATTCTGATGCGTTCGCCACGGTCGAGGATCGTCGTGAGGGTTCCTCTGTGATTTGGCAAGTGTATAGACCGCAGGACCACCATCGGATCTGTTCGAACTATGGGAAGGTGCGATTTCCCATGTATGAATTTTGCTCTCGCGAAGTGGGACCCCAATTGCCCTTCTCTGACTTTCAAATGGGGGTCTTCGACTGGTTGATGCTGGTGCCTTCGCAGTTGCACCCCAACACGATTGCTTTTATCCAGGCATATGAGCTCGTCTGCCGGCATCTTGAGATTGGGACCACACTCACTCTGTTCTTTCGGCCCTTTCATCTGCAACGACAAATGATTGATGACCGACAGGGCTGGGTATCCTTGAAGCAGGCGAGGAGGTTATTTAGGGCGTACATGGATTCTGTCCGGACCTTCTAGGATAGATTCTTCGTGGTTAGGCCTGTGTCTCACGAGGCCTGCACCTCGCTATACCGTCGTGAGGCCCAGGAGGTGAACGGGCAACGGGAAGAGGTTAT